CCCTGCGACGCGGCCTCCTGCCCACAGTGCGCAGGCTGAGAGGCAGCCCTGTGGCCTGGGACGGCCCGCCATGCCCCTGCCGACCTGCCTCTGCCGTCTCCTCTGGGCTGCCCGTGCAGCAGCTTCAACCCCCATGGGTCTGGGGGGGATTTTTCTTTCCCCCAGCTGGTCACCTTGCCAGTGGGAGGGGACTGCCCTGACCTGAGAAGCCTTGGGTGCCCGGGCTGGCATGTGGCCCCCTGTAACGTTGCCGTGGGAGAGCTGAGGAACCAGACAAGACCATTTACAGCCAGTGTGACATTCAGGAGTTGGGAGTCTTCTCTGACGCTGAAGGGGACAGGGGTAGGAGGCACCATTCAACCAACGTTAAGGTTAACTGCTGTACTCCTGGAAATGGTTATGGGCTTTGAGGGGTTTCTACATACATAGGGGGCAGTCTTAATTCACCATCAGATTAGAGTTCATTTCTAAACATTTCAATGTGCAAAACCATGTTTTTTGTCCTTTAGGCTGAGTATTTTTAATACTTATTCAATATTTCTGAGGGTTTCTTTTAGGTGACTACACCTAGATTATTTGTATCTTCATTAATCTATTTTGTATTGTAAATATTTTTACTTAATATCCCTGGTTGTTTTAAATTGTTAAATATTTATTGTAAGAAAGAATTTGAAAGACTATTTGGATTGAATTTACATGTCATTTATCTGTATTTATGTAAGCCGCTAAATTTCTGAAAGATCTATGCTTTGTTAATTTTTTTTTTCCAATATTTATGTTGGAATTAATAATTGGAATAAAATATCAAAGATAAATGTGTCCTGGGAAAGATTTCAGGAGATAAAATCCAGAACAAAGAGAAACATTTCCATTTGCTATATCCTTATTCACAGCTAACACTATTTATTTCATGGTAAGACTCCATATTATCTCACTTCTTTACATTAGTGAGTGATGATATGCTTTGCGTGTTCATACATCAAGTAATCTCTATCACAAAGCCTTCGGCAGCTGTGTTCCAGTTTTTAACATATGAGAGGTATTTTCTCACAACTGTGAAGTGGAAAAGAAAGAATGGGATGCATTGGCCTGGAATAAATCACAGCCATCATTCATGGCCACTCTGAAAAATGCTGTTCAATGTGAGAAAGGTAATTCTTGATTGTTCCATTAACTCCATCGATTGGCAAGTCACGGTAACAGGCACAAAACAAACCATGTGGTAAATGTAACAGTGGCTTTCAAACAATGACTAGATTTTGTAACAAGATTGTATAACATTTAGACTGCATGCTGGGTTTCAAACATCAGATATAGAGAGGCTTAATAGAACTAAACATTGAAACCTGCTTAAGCAAATATAAAACACGAAATTAGAAATTTAATTCCTAGAAACAGTTAAATGAAAAATCTGTGATCCTATGGAGTTATAAATTCTATTGGATTAAAATTTATGGTGATTTTAAAGGTTTGAAGGTTACTTTGAATCATTTTTTTTTTACAGCTTTCATACAGAGCTAACTTTTACATGCGGAACATGCAATCAAGGAGGTGTTTCCTACCGTGAAAAGCTACCTCATTTGTTTAAGTTACGAGAAAGCATCTGTTAGCATGATAGGGGGACATATAGAAAATATATTTTATAACCAAATATATTGAAAATATTAATAGGGAGCTACATAGAAAAAGCTAAAACTATTAAAACTTGCTTCCCAGAACTAACATGCATGCAAGTAAGCAATTAGTCACTAACCCCTGCAAATTGCTTGAG